AGTTGCCCCAGATGTGTCTCAATGTTGTGGATGGATGCTTGTTAGATTCTAAGCATTGTTCTTGTTTCTTGGATTGCAGCATCATGATCATTATGTCTCTTTTCTGAAGCAGCTCCAAACTTGGTTTTCTTTCTTGTGCCGCTCCTCCTTTTGGTAAAAACCTCTTCCTTTTTGTTTGTACTTCTCCTCCTTAGCCTTCTTGTACTCATCATAAGGGAGCCACTCTTTCTTTGGTTTTCGCCAATCTTTATCATATCGGTCCCCATTTGAGTAGCACACTTGCACCTTCTTATTGCCATTTTCATCCAGGTCACAATCTCTACTAAGATGAGGCCCATTGCGGTTCTCACAACCCACCCGAATAGCATGTATCATTTGATCTGTTTTGTCCATCCTCCTATCCATGGTTTTCAACATAGCCATGACTGCTGACAAATCTTCTGAAGTTGCATAGGCGCCCCCCTTGTCACATCATTTCTAGGATTATGGTATTCTCTAGAATGCTTAGAGAATTCTTCAATTAGTTGTTTTATCACCGGAGGTGCCTTATTCGTGAGTGGACCTTGCGAGTCAAGTAATTTATCTTGTTGTAACATTTACTCCATCATAAAAGATGGAGACTTCTTGTTGACTATTAAGGTCATGATGTGGGCAATTCCTTAGTAGGCTCCTGGACCTCTACTAAGCTTCATATAGTGACTCTCCAGCTTGTTGTTCAAAGTTGGCTATGGCTTTCTTTAGCTTAGATATCTTGGATGGTGGTCAGAATTGATCAATGAACTCTTCTTTCATTTGGGCCCATGTAGTGATGGATCCGGGGGGCAATGACTTGAGCCAATCCTTTGCAGCACCCTTCAATGTAACCGGAAGCAAGCGAAGTAGCTGAGTTTCCTGAGGCACGTTTGGAACATTGAAATAATTAGCTACATCATTAACTTCATCCAAGTGTTTGTAAGCATCTTCTTGGTCTTTGCCGGTGAAGGGGATCTCCTTAAGTTGAGCAAGGATGTGACCCTTAAGCTCAAAAGTAGCAGTTGCAGGAATTGTTGGTTGCACAAGTCCCGGGCCAATGTCATCGCGTATCCTCTTCTTCCGTTCCCCCATGGGAATTTCATCGATGTTAGCCATGGTAATAGCTAAATCGTCGCCGAAATCGGAGTCGTGCCCGTATGTAGGTTCTTCTTCTTCCTCGGTTTCGTACTCGGTGTCTTCTTTGATCGGGTCTTCTCTTGTGAAAGAGGCGTTGGATTCATGTTCTGTTTAGGTCTAACCAATTCACTCCTATGGTTATTTGTATAATAGAATGATAAATTAATTGTTATTAGTTACCAACTATAGTGGTTAGATTCATGTTCACTATTACTAACCCTTAGTAAATTAATCAATTCAAGCAGTGACCAATTGTTTAAACTAATTAACTTCCTAGTTCATTTATTTGGATTAAATAAGATTTGTAATTGTTAATCAAGTTGGTGATTCAATTAACCTCCTGTTTGTTGGTTTCTCAAACAAGCTCACACATTAATTTACCCATTCTCTAATTAATCATAGTTTCGTGTTCATTATTCCTAGACATATGATGAAGTGTTCACATAAACATATGAGGTTAACAACTAAGAGATGTTCATGCAGCTTAACTGTCTTCCAATTAATAGAAAATAGTTATGGTTAATGCATAAGGTTCTTTAACAAACTTAATTTAATAAAATCATCAATAAACAATCAATAAAAGTAATAATCAAACCATAGGAGTAACTTGGTTTTTTCCTAAACAGAAACAACACGAATTTAGCTCATGATTACAGTGGAAGCAAGCTCAAAAACGAATTTAACTAAACTAGACATGATTCAATCCTAAGATTAAGTGGAAAATATAACCTAATTCGCCTTGAGTCTTCAAAAGATCAAAGGTTAGGGTTCTTCATGTCTCCAAAGGGTTCTTCAATCGCAGGTGTATCTCCCCAAAAGCCAAAAAAGTCTCTAATTCGGAATAAGATTCAATATTTATACTTATCACAAAACAGGGGCAACTCGGCGAGTAGGTCCCCAACTCGCCGAGTAGATGTGGAAAATCCGTGTACGGCAAGGATTCTTGACTTTTCTTCGGGAACATTCTTGGGAACTCGCTGAGTAGATTTGTAGACTCGCCGAGTAGCTCCAGATGTCTTCTTTTTTCTTCATTCTTTGGTCTTTAATTGCTTATCCTTATTCCTTTTTACTCCCAAGCATGTCTTCTGGACTGAAAACACAATTTACACATTATTAAGTACCCTTTGTCCACATTATGCACATAATTAGCTAAAAATGAATAAAAATATATACTAAACATATGGCTAACTATGCACATATCAATGTGCGTCCATTATAAAAATTTATAACCCTTCCTTTTGCCGTTGATCGTTTTAAATTCCAACGCTTTGGATTGGTTCATTGAATAATAATGGTTCTCTATTGAACTTTTCCATATATATATATATATATATATATATATATATATATATATATATATATATATATATATATATATATATATATTAACGTTCAATCGAGAACATTTCTTACCGCGAGAATATTTGAAAACAAAAATTACCTTTTAATTTAACAAGGTAGCAGTTTTTTAATTAATTCAAAAACTACATGCAAAACAAATAAAAATTGAAAAACACGGGGGCAATATTATAAATGCAAAACGAAACTGGTTCCTTGGTCACATAACTATTAGTTCCCCCTCATTTCATTAATCATCGTTATCCATAACTTCTCTGTCTACTTTTCTGTAATTAATTAAAAAACTACATGCAAAGCAAATAAAATTTGAAAAACGTGGGGGTAATATTGTAAATGCAAAATGAAACCGGTTCCTTCGTCACATAACTACTAGTTCCCCCTCATTTCGTTAATCATCGTTCCCCATAACGTCTCTCTCTACGTTTCTGTAATTAATTCAAAAACTGCATGCAAAGCAAATACAAATTGAAAAATGTGGGGGCAATATTGTAAATGCAAAATGAAAGTGGTTCCTTCGTCACATTACTTGTCCCCCCTCATTTCGTTAATAATCGTTCCCAATAACTTTTCTCTCTACTTTTCTGGAAAGAAAACCCTCGAGAGAACCCTAAATATTCTTCGATAATCATTAAAATCGAACACCAAAATAAAAATATCGTCAACGACTGATTTCCCGAGAACAAATGCTTCAGATCAAGGTAAAAATCAATGCATTCCTTGATTTTGTTTTGAACTTATAACAATCAAAAAATGAACTTTACACTAGTATTTGAGATGTCGTTATCTGTTTTCAAAATATAAACAGTTGCTGAAGGATTTTAGTTGATAACACTCGATTTTAAATGTTATCGAGTGTTTTATTTAGTTTTTTTAATTTTATACTCTATTTTTCATTTACGAGTGTCATCTATTGATTATGATGATATCAATTGATCATTTGTGATTATCTACTAACTATTAACCTAATAAAGTTGAATAATAGTGGATTTTATCTACTATCTAGGGTTTTTTTTGTTATTATGCTCTGTTTTCAATTAATGATTTTTATTTTGTTTATCTACTTATTACGACGATAATAAATAGTTAGGAAAGATTTTACTTGATAAGTTATTAAAACGAGGTAAATACTCGTTAATAAAAAATTGAAACTAACCATTTATTTTTTACTTTGTGAATCACTAAACACTTGATCAAAGAGAGTTGATCCGTACATAACAATTTTTCTCCATACACAATAATTGGTGCTTTAAAATGTTGTAGTGTACAACTATATAATGTATGAATTGTTGTGTATGACAAAAAACTGTTGTGTACGAATCGCTTCTCATTATCAAACAATTGAACTATCATGTCACATTTTTAACATGTTTATTATATTCTCATGGATAGGTTAGAACAACGGATAAAAATATTAGTCGCGTTAGCAACAGTATAAATTTTATGTTTTAAACGTTTTTTTGAAGAAAATCCCATTTTTATAAATGATAAAGATAAAGACGCCTTTTTAACACGAAACTAGCATTTATTCAAGATGTTACTCATCTATAAAACTGCTACGTTTGATTAGATAAAAAAAAGGATACTGTCATTAATATCTAGAAGTGTGAAGAAAAAGCATCGATAACAATATCAATTATAACATGAGTAATGTGTCAGACATTTTTCAAAAAAATCTTTAAGTTTGACCTTATAGCTTAGGATTATAAAAAATAAAATTTGAAAAGTTAAAAGAACTTTTTTTTGAACGGCAAAGAGGAAAAATGCATTAAAGAAAGCCAGCAGGAAGCTAGACAAAACAGTACATACAAAACATTGATTAGAATGGAAATTTTAAATGAACTACACTAGATAAACTAATGATGAACTAGAGATTTGTATTGTGAACCAAAACTCATGACTAAACTGGAATTCACCAAATGGGAACTACTATGTCTGAGGTATCTTCAATCTTTGAATGAGGTAGCACCAACTGGGCATAACGGGCAAAATATCAGTGCTTCAGTCCATAGGTCTAGAGCCTCCATGAAGGAGACCCCAATCAGCAGTAAGCTCTAAGCTACTTAGTACTCCTCTGGGAAAATAAGATGCATCCAATCTTTAGCTGACATATTCGAGGTCGTCTTCAAGAATATTCTCCAAGTGGGCATATTCGGATATTAATGGGATTTATGTAGCATAAATCAAGAAGTATCCAGTTGTGAGGCCCTGCGAAAAGAAACAGATCGAAAGAGAGAGAAAGACACACGCCAACATAAAATTCACCCCCACCCAAATTTATAACACCAAACACACGAAAGAAACACGAAAAAAAATGCCAAGCACAGTTATGTTCCTAAAGAGATGGCTACCCAAAAGAAAGAAAAATACACGCCAAACACACGCTTAACTGCACTTGGCATTACTCCAAGACACCAATTAATATATACACAAAATGAACCCCCCCTCCACCATGAACATTACAGCAGATCAGACTCAAGGATTGGATTGCAACACTATTCTAACCTTCTAAGATTTTTAGATTTATGTCTAGCATTTATCCATAAATATGATAGGGTCTGGATTTCATCTATAAGACCAGAAGGTGAGATGCGTTTGTTTGAATGAGCAAGCTTATTCCTATATTTCCAGATGACCCAGATAAAGACCAAGGATATAGCTTCGCGGAACACTCCTAGATCTTTTTTAGGTGGAAGGTTATTCCTACACTGAAGTATATTTGAAACCGACTGGAAGCTCGATGGAAGTAAATACCACCATAATCTAATATCTCCCAAACTTTTAATGCACTGAACAGGCGGTGAATAAGTGGGTCTCAGATTCTGCTTGCTGGTTGCAGAGGGTGCACAGTGTATTGGAGCCAATTCCCAATTTGTGCAGGTTTTCTTTCGTAGGTAATCTGCCGTGACAGATTCTCCACGATAAGATGTTTACTTTCCGAGGCACAAGGTAGTTCCAAATCCAACAATTGTTTGTTCTTGGGAGGAGCTTGTTGTCGATGTGACTTCTCAGTGAGGCTACTGTGTAGACACCCGAAGCCTCTAACTTCCAGAACTTCCCATTAGTTTGGTTCGAGTTGGGATTAATAAAGAGGTTTTGAAAATCTAAATCATATTTTGATAAGGTGGAGTGCAAATTTACAATGGTGCCCCAACAGAAGCCTTTTTCTTTATTTTAGACAAAATAAAAGATTCAAAATACGAAATAACTTGTTATTATTCTACATTCTTTTAGACAACTAACTTGTAGAAAGACATTAAGGGAAAAGTTTGCATGAAAACCCAAAATCAAACATGAATAAGCAACTAGGACACACACACACACACACACACACACACACACATATATATATATATATATATATATATATATATATATATATATTGATAGTTCCTAAGATCAAACAAATTATCAAACAATGACTATAAATAAGAGCAACGAGGATTCACAAAGACAAACTTTCACTAAGAATGATAATCTCACAAAGAGATTATCGAATGCACAAAGCGGCTATTAGGATTTGTGAAAGATGCCCTTTTACAAACTTGTACAAAAGACTATATAGAACTAATCTACGCAATCCTTACAAAATCAGGGATATACCAACTAACTAATAGACGAAAATTATGGAAACTAGATAAGTACCAAATCTGTTACAGAATTCTGAATATAAACTATACACTGAGTAATTAATACACTAACGCTGATGCTGAGTCATACGCTGACGATGATTGATCAGTCTCAAACATCATCATATTATAAGGTTTGACCTTACAATCTATCCCAATATGATGATGTTCAAAACTAGCTAGACTAGAACACCTCTGGATAAAAACTCTTCATACTCAGCTTCAGCTTCTACTTTCACTAGCCAGTAAGGACTATCTAGCAACTCCTGTCTTCTATTCAGTAACTCCATAGCAATCAGTTTATGAAACTCTCTAGAGAGATCTTGATGACTCATGTACATTTGTCTTACACCAACAAGATGTTCTGTTGGAGCTCTTGGAATTTCTGTAGTACGCTGAAAACACATTTTCCTGTTCTTATCAAGATAAAACATTCCATGTTCAGGAACAGAGATGAACTTATGTTGAACCGGCTCAACACCAATAGGAAGAGAGTTGTTTATTTCTTCAGCACCAAAATTTAGAACTAATACATCTTCATCATCAACTTGAAATATAATTCTTCTGATTCTTGGAACTGAGGAACTTGGGCCTTGCTGCTGAGGACGCTCTGTAGAAACAAGATCAAGACGCTGAACTTTCTTGATCAGTAAGTGAAGAGCACAGGTCAGTTCTGAAGAAAGAGCTGAAGTTTGCTTGGATGCCAACTCGAGCAATTCCATCCATTCAGAGTATCCGTATCTAATCATCTCGTCTCTCTTTATAACTTCAGTGTACGGATGTTGAGGACCTTGACGAGTGATCAACAAAGTAAGGATTTTCTCGTCACGAGGTTTTGAGGTTTTAACTTTGATGATCTTGTCATTGCTTATTCTTCGTTTGAAAACATCTTGAAACCTTTTTCGATCGATCCTGTCAAGAACACTATCAGTCCTTGACTTACTGCTACTGGAAGGAGGTTGTGAAGATTTAGTTTTGGACCGATATTCTAGAAACCTTTGAATTTGAGCTTCAAAGGATCCCACTGCCCGAAGTTTGTGCTGAATGAGAGATTCATCAGCTTGAGCAATATTCTTTAGAAGCTGAGCTTTATTGGCTTCATCAAGGATTTGCTTAACTTGATCAGGGGTCATATTCCATTCAGCTGCCAGATTTGATATGCTAACAATGGACTTATGTTTCTTGCTAGGAGGAGAAGTATCAGCATGTGAATCAGATGATTCAGTATATGCTGCCTTTCGCTTTCGAGATAAAGGAACAAGATCCTCATTAACTACATCTGAGTTTTCACCTTGAATTGGCACAATGGGATCTATGAAGTTAATATCCAACATCTGACACTCATCATCATGTTCATCTTCATCATCATGTTCACATTCTTCAGTAGGATATTCAATTTCTGCTAGTCTTTCAGACTCGTGCTCAGGCTGTGGTGAATCAGTTTCTCCCCCTTTTTGACCATCATCATCATTTGGGCCAGGGGAAGGAGTTGACAGAATAACTCCCTTCAGTTGGTTGACATCAGCCTCAATACGTAGAAGACACTGACTCATATCTCGAGTCAGTGTAAGAAGCTCATTAAACGTTGAGGCCGGAATTTGAATGAGCTGAGTACCTGGAATTTCTTGTGATCGATGCCGCTCCCTCTGAGAAGGTTGCTCCCCCTGAGATGGTTGCTCCCCCTGAGAAGATGGCTCCCCATGAGCTGAATGAACCCTTTCAGTGACAGAAATAGTATGATGAGAAAGTTGAGGGGAGATATGACCACCATCTTGTATTTCAGCATGAATTTCATCGTTATCAGCAGCTCCTTCGTCGGTGTCAGCGTTTAGTGAAGGAACGGTATATGGATTCGCGATCCATTCTCACATCCGATCAGAGATGCCGATGTCATTAGCCAGTGGATCATCCTGATACATTCGTACTGACATGCGTGGGCATTGGATGGGGTTTCCAGCGTGTGAGTAATAGGCTTCAGCATGAAATTTATCTAGGACAAGAGCAATCCAGCGTGGAAACAGAACATGATCAGCTCTTACATTGGCCCGAAGAAGTTGGACAAGATGATCGAAGAAGAAAGCCCCATAATCAACACGTTTGTTGAGGAGAAGTGAACATACCACGTGTTGCTCAAAAGCACTCAGTTGATCACCACTGAGAGATTTGTGACCTACACACTTACAAAGTGCGCCGGTGAAGAACTTCCATCCAGGAGTAATACATTGACGTAGAATGAGAGTTGGTTGAGCACCAGCCTTGGAGTGATCATAGCCCAGTTGGTCAAAGAGGCGTCGACAACGTTCAAAAGTTGGAAGCTCAGAGAATGGTTCAAAAATTGGTAACTTGAGTGCAGTACGGAGGAGATCAACGTTGATGAAAACTGAGCGACGACCACGCCCAATAGTGCCGAAGATGATGTTGTTTTCATTATTGACGGTTGCGGTATAGTAGAACTCACATACTTGTTCGGGAAAGAACTCTGATGGAACCTCACTGATAGCATATCGAAGTCTGCAAGATACTAGAAAATTGACAAAATCATCAATTCCAAGACCACGATGAACATCTGGTATATCAGGGTTGAAGACGACATTTGTGGCTTTGATGTATATGGGAAAAGGAGGAGAGTTTGGAGCTGGGATGACTCTTCTTGAGGTGGAGAAGAAAGTAAATAGTGATGCCGCCATTGAAGAGAGTTTGGATTCTAGGGTTTTGAAGAAAACAGAAGGAAAATTGAATTGTGGGAGGAAAGATTGAGAGAGAGGTGGGGAATGAGGTTTAAATATGGGATTAAATGGTTTTTAAAAAGGTAATGATTATCTTTTTCGAAAATAACTGTGTATCTTAACAAACTGTCAAATCCGAAAAAATAGTCGTTGAAAATAAGTCGTTGTAATGAAGAGGAAACGCCAATCAGTGTCTGCGAAAGCGCTGAGATCAGTGACACTAAAAGTTACATGCTGAAAGATAATATGTCGTCAATTCAAGGTACAACTTGCTTGTTTAGGGTTAGCAAGGTGGTTGGTGCGTGTGATAGATACTGGTTTAATTATCTAACCATCGACACAGAGTGTTGAGTCTTTATCAGTGAGTGGTGCTTCTTACTGAATCATTAGACACTGAGTGAGAAGAAGGTGAAGAAAGGATTGTTGCGTGTGTTAGACCTTGGTGTTTTGGTCTAACCATCGGCAAAGACTGTTAGACTCTCATCAGCATGTGTTTTGTCACACTGAATCACAGAATTAGTGTGAGATTGGTAAGAAGGGATACTTGCGTGTGATAGATCTTGGTGTTTTGTCTAACCATCGGCAAAGAGTTTCAAGTTGTTATCAGTGTATGGTTTAATATAGTGAATCACTCAAATTTAGTTTAGAATATTTGTAGAAGAGATAAAGATAAGAGATCATACAAGGTACTCAGCATGGAAAACATCATCAACACATCATCATCAACAAAAATACATCAGTTTATAAGACAATAGCAAACATTAGTAAAACATTTTTTTTTAATCCAGAGTGATCATTCCAAGTTCTCCAATAATGTGAGCAGTAGTTTGAGTATCCAGGGCCTTGGTGAAAATATCAGCTAGTTGATCTGAAGTCTTGACATGTTCTAGAACAACCTTGTCCTTCTCAACATTGTCTCTGATGAAGTGATGTCTGATCTCGATATGCTTTGTCTTTGAGTGTTGAACAGGATTTTGAGTGATCTGAATGGCACTGGTGTTATCATAGTATATAGGAGTCTTTGTGAATTTAAGCCCATAATCTAAAAGCTGATTTTGAATCCATAAGAGTTGAGCACAACATCTCCCAACTGCGACATTCTCAGCTTCTGCAGTGGAGATAGCTATTGAGGTTTGCTTCTTGCTAGACCAGCTGATTAGTCGATTTCCAAGGAAATGACATCCACCTGATGTGCTCTTCTTATCTAAGTTTCATCCTGCATAGTCGGAATCAGTGTATCCAAAGAGTTCAAATGCTGAGTCACGAGGGTACCACAATGCCAAGTTCTGAGTGCCCTTTAAGTATCTAAAAATACGTTTAACTGCATTGAGATGAGACTCCTTGGGATTAGCTTGAAATCTAGCACAGAGAATGGTTCCAAACATGATATCAGGGCGACTTGCAGTGAGGTAGAGAAGAGATTCAATCATTCCTCGATAAAGAGTGATCAACATTAGTGCCGGTGGGATCAGCGTGTAGCTTATCAGTCTTGGACACTGTAGTAGAGGTCGGTTTGCAGTCGCTGAAAGAGTACTTAACAAGCATGTCAGCAATATATTTACTTTGACAAATTGAGATACCTGAATTTTGTTGCTGAACCTCAAGACCTAAGAAAAAGGTCATCTTCCCCATCATGCTCATCTCGAACCTTTGAGACATGATCTCAGCGAATTCCTTGCTCAACTTCTCATTTGGAGAGCCAAAGATGATATCATCGACATAGATTTGAACAAGAATCATGTCTGAGCCTTTGTTTTTGATGAAGAGTGTATTATCAATTGCTCCTCTTCTATAGCCATTTTCAAGAAGATAAGATGTCAGTGTCTCATACCAGGCCTTGGGAGCTTGCTTCAGTCCATATACAGCTTTATCTAGTTTGTACACATGGTCAGGGTGTTCTTTGTCTGCAAAGCCTGGGGGCTGTTTGAGAAATACTTCTTATTCTAACACACCATGAAGAAATGTTGTTTTGACATCCATCTGGTAGACAATGAAGTTCATGTATGAAGCATATGCAAGGAACAGTCTGATTGCTTCAATGCGGACAAGTGGAGCAAAAGTCTCCCCGTAATCAATAGATTCAATTTGAGTGAACCCCTGAGCAACAAGTCTTGCTTTGTTGTGAGTAATAACACCATCTTTATCAACCTTGTTACGATAGACCCAGCGTGTTCCTGTGATGGTCTTTCCTGATGGTCTAGGAAAAAGAGTCCAAACCTTGTGCCTTTTGAACTCATTCAGCTCGTCTTGCATGGCTTTAATCCAGTCAGCGTGTTGAAGTGCTGAGTGTATCTTGTCAGGTAAGATAATTGAAACAAAGTTAACATACATGCAAAAATTATTAGATACACGAGATCTGGTTTGGACACCATCATGAAGATTTCCAATAATTTGATCAACATGTTGATCTCGATGTTCTGGAGCTGATTCAAATGAGCTTGATGCTGAGGAGTTATCAATGAAAGGAACATCAGTTACAGGAGAGTCTTCAGATTCAAGGGTTTCATCAGCATCTGAAAAAAAAAGTTGTCGTGCTGACCGCAGTGTCTTGATTGACAGGACTTGGGTCTGGAACGATGGGATCAGGAAGGACAACTTCTTCTTCAGTATGTGAGACTTCATCAGATGGACAGGAGAGAAGCTCTTGAAAAATAGAAGGGGAATGAGCTACTTTTTCATCAGTGTAGGATTCTTCATCAAACTTTACATGAATGGATTCCTCAATGCATTGATTGTTCACATGAAAAACATGAAAAGCCTTTGAAATAGATGAATATCCAACAAAAATACCTTTGTCAGCCTTAGGCTCAAATTTTGATCTGGGATTGCACTGATTAAGAATATAACAAATGTATCCAAACACGTGAAAGAAGGATACGTCCGGCCTTCGACCTTTCAACATCTCATATGGTGTCTTCTAGTGAACCCTGTGAATTAGAGAGCGATTCTGAGTATAACATGTTGTATTAACAGCTTCAGCCCAAAACGACATAGGAAGACCAGCATGAATCATTAAGGTCCTTCCTACCTCAATTAGTGTCCGCTTTCTTCGTTCAGCAACTCCATTTTGTTGAGGCGTGCGAGGAGCTGAAAAGTTCTGCCCAATACCTTTAAAATCACAAAAGTCTTCAAGAGTCGAATTCCGGAACTTAGTGCCATGATAACTCCTTAGCTGCTTAACTTTGAGACCAGTCAACGTCTCGTTTTGTCGAATTAGTGAGATAATTTCCTGTGCAGCTTGACCTTTCTTCTTCAAGAAAGCCACCCATGTAAATCGGGTAAATTCATCCACAACCACCAACCTATACTTATTTCCTCCTTGGGAACAAACATGAATAGGTCCAAACAAGTCCATGTGTAGTAAATGAAGAGGAACAAATATGCTAGAACATGACTTGGCTTTGAATGATGACTTGGTTTGCTTTCCTTGTTCACACGCTGAGCACATCTTGTCTTTGACAAAGCTGAGTTTTGGGTGACCTCTAACTAGATCTTGATTGGATATTTTAGATAGATTCTTAAAGTTCAAGTGAGAGAACCTTTTGTGCCAAATCCAGCTGAGATTGGTTTGAGACTTGGTAAAGAAACATTGCATCAGTGCCTTGTCACTTGAGAACATGTCAAGAACATATATATATATATATATATATATATATATATATATATATATATATATATATATATATATATATATCATCTTTTCTACTTGCTGAGAGTGCAATGTTCTTGTCAGTGTTGATGACTCTTCCTTCATTCTTTGTAAAATGAACTTCATAATCAGCACCATACAATTGACTGATAGAGATAAGATTGTGTTTGAGACCCTTTACATATGAAACATTCTGAAAACACCACATTATTGCACTTGATGTTCCCATATCCTTTAGTAAACCCCTTTCCATTGTCTCCGTATGTTACTGCAGGACCAGTTTTCTTGACATAGTCTTCCAGGAGAGACTTGGATCATGTCATATGTCCTGAGCAACCGTTGTCTAAGTACCAAAGATGCTCTTGAGCCTGCAGTGCTGAGAAACTACTTAGAACACACTGACCCATTGTAAGATGGGTCATTCACAAAGTTATTTGACAAAATATTATAGCACTCTTTAGGAAGACAGTTCAAAGAATTTGATTTAAGAGTCCATCTTTCATTTCTAATTTTGATGTTGTCAGCTCTTAACGATGTTTTATCAAACTTGCATTCACTGATCTTGTGAGAGGTGTCACCACATCTGTAACAAACTCTAGTACCAAAGTTTTTCTTGGTGAGCAGATTTCTAGATTTAACACATTTGGATTTGAAAGATTCACCAAGTGAACTTTGAGTCCTTTTATTTGACATTGAATTACAACTGAATTCAGTGTCAGAAGAACTATGATCAGTGATGGATAAAGAGCTGACATCAGTATCAGATTTAGACTTATGCACTGACACACTGCAATCAGGATAATGTTTAAGTTGTTCATGAACAACATGAAACACTCCATTTGAGATAGGAAATGCGATAATATTTTCAGTGAGAGGAGTTGGTCTCTCAAGATGTGCAGGGTAAGAAGTAGGATCAATTCCGGTAATTTCAATATTACACTCAGTAACACCATTAGAATCAGTAACACAATATTCATCAATGAGACTCTGATTAACAAAAGTGTTGCTGATAAATTTGTTTTTGAAACTATCTTTCAATTCATTCATGGAATAAAATTTAGATTCTTTTTCTTAAGATTTAAAAACCTTTTCAGCTTCACCAAAATTTCCCCCAAGGATTTTCTGGCATGAAAGAGGTATTTGAGCAGAAATGACATAATTAGCATTTTTGTGAGATTTAGCCCAAAGTTTTAGCACATTTGTTCTTTGTTCAAGAGGTCTTTAACTTTATCGATTTCAGTAGATAGCAAGGAATTTGATAAGCTAGTAACTCTTAGATTTTCCTGAGTAGTGTCAATAATGTTATTTTTCA